AAATGTACATATTATTATTACTGATGACTATAATGAAAAACAATATAAATTAAAATTATTTAAAAATTATAAACATTTACTTATGTCATATGATGAAAACCTTATCATTTATCAATTAATTAAATTTACAATATCGATTAGGATGGATGTCATTTGTTAGTTATTGATTGAAAATAGATTATCATATATCATATTTATTATCATATAGCAGGGCTTGCAAAAGTTATAATAATAACATTCATTATAACGTTATATTTGACAAAAAACGATTGAAATTTGTAAACGTTATTATAACGGAAATCGATAGGTAATCAATAATAAGTAAATACCGCAAAACAAAACATATTGCACTAACAAAATATATTACTATAAAATATCATTAAAAAAACATAACGCTAAACGTAATTTATAGAATATCATTGATGGAAAATTACGCAAAACGAAATATTTTAAAATCTATTTGGTTAAAAGGTGTATTTGTTTCTTAGAAACATTTATTTGATGCAAACCATCTAAGAATTGATTATATTATATTCCTTATTCGCGCCATTGTGTACACATTTCTTATATTATAAATATCATAAATCACAATTCATAATTATTGTCTAATAGTAATGATAGATATAAGCACGATCGAACGGTCTTAGACAAGCTTGTTACCTATGGGGCTACAAAGTTATATTTTGACATTTTGTTGTGATTTTAATTATTTAAATAATTTGTTTATTTGATTCATCATAATCTCTATTTTTAGCTGCCCTAATTTTGTATGGTCAGGGGTCAGCTAGTCAGGCTTATTCTTTTTTATATTATATTGTTATGTAGGTATTTGATAAAAGTTGTAATTTATGGTTTTATCAGTAATACTGACTTATAAGTCATAACTCATAACTTACTTACTGATCAATTATGTTGATAATAACTTTAATGTTCTTTCCCACTACAAAGACGTGTTGATTTCTTAATCCGTGATTGTATAATATGGATCGTCCCTTTTGTGGATGATAAAGGTTTTATGGGGGTGTCCGATTTCTTTTTTTTATTAAATTATAGGTACCACACGGAAAAAACAAAATAGTTGTTTGTACTATAAAAATAGTAGGATTGACTGTACATTACGATTGCTATACGATAGCTCTAAGGTTAGTTCGATTTACTAAAACATCATAGTCAAGTTATTATAGTTATTCGAACTGAAATATGCTATTTTAACTATATTTTTTAATTAATTCAAACATTAAAAGCTTCGTTAACTATAAAATATAGTAAACATTAACATAAAAAAGGTGGGTAAGTGGATGTCGCTCTGCTGTACTGTAGGTTACAAGTGGGTCATTGTATAATGGATGGTATTAAATTTGAATTCAATGATATAATATCATTGTATAAGAAAAACGATTCTGAGTGGAGACGGTATGTCCTTCTAGGTATAAGACATATTATATACATATCTATGGTATTAAAAAAAATTGACCTATAATGAATTCCAAATTAATCATATCACAATATCCATTAGGTACTTATAACGCGTTATACACCAACAACAAACCCTGATACTATCATAGATATATATAGTAAATTACTTTAGAAATTTCAAGTACCCACGAATAATATTATACAATCACAACAAAATAACTAAAATCGTAATTCTTGGTTAAATATGAAATTTTGTCTAAATTTGAAATTAAAATGTCTGTAAAAAATAAGTGTGTTTATATATTTTTTAGATTTTTTGGTTACAGTATGAATTATTTAAGAGAATCTTTGTTTTAAATTTTCAACTCTTAGTTATAAAAACTGAACATTTTATAATTTTTTAATTCCAACGATTGATAATTTTATAGATTTTGATAAATTTTGTCAAAATTCCAACTTTGAATGCTTTTAAAAAAAAATCGTGCCTATGTATTTTTAATATTTTTCAACTGATATTGTAACAATATATCAGGAGCCTTGTATTAAATTTTTACACTTTTTGGCCCAACAGATAAAACTTTATTGATATTTATAGAAAAAAAAACTAAAAAAAATTGAAAACTGAAAATGTCCATAAACAGCTCAAAAAGAGTCAAAATATTTTCAAAGTTGTATGGTGTATAGAAAATGCTAATTTAAACATTCAGTGAAATTTTCATGTATCTACAGTTGTTCGTTTTTGAATTGCAACAAAATAAGGAAATCGCTACATGAGTAATCGAGTGAAAATCCAAAGTTGTAAAAATTTGAATTTCAAACGCTCATAAAAATTTAATTTGACTGTCCGGTAAAGATTTTTTTATTGATAAAGGTAGATAATCTTATAAGGAATCTTGTGTTTCATTTTCAAATCTTAGATTTAAAAAGAAAAATTTTTACGAATTCTCTACTCAAAATAATTTGCTAATTTTCGTGATTTTTCCATATTTTGTCAATTTTTGAACTTTAAATGCTTATAAAAAAAAATTGTGACTAAGGATTTTTAATATTTTTCATCTGCCTTTGAAACAATATATTAGGAGCCTTCTATTAAATTTTTAAGCTTTCGCAACCAACAAATAAAATTTTATTGATATTTTTAGAAAAAAAACTAAAAAAAAATGGAAAATTAAAATGTCCCTAAACAGTTCAAAATAAATCAAAATATTTCGAAAAAGTTATCGTGTATAGAAAATGCAAATATAAACAACCAGTGAAAATTTCATGTATATACGTTCATTTGTTTTAGAGTTACACCAATAACCAAAATCGATTTTTTGGAAAACCAATTTTGCTTAAAAATTCCCGTTTTTCCTTAATTTTTCTTTTGTTTTTCCCGGCGCTTGTGAAAACTACTGGGAAATTTAAATTTTGACCTCCTCAATGCACCAACGATATTCACTACTCAATCGAACAAGATACTGAAGTTGATAATCGGAGCATTATTTCGACTACTTATCGTGTCCACAGACACTAAAATAAAAAATAAAAAAACACACATCATTGTAAAATCAATACATTCATAATGTTCCACTATTCATAACGTTCCACTCAGAATCTAAAAATTAAATCATTACCTATTAATTTGGTCCTGTATTTTTATTTTTAAATAAGGTCACCTTATATTAGACTATAAATATTCTGAATTTAATCAGGGAGGAACATTATTGTAATATAAATATTACGAATTGCTATATGTGGGATGTCGGACCAATGACTAATGAGCGAGAAGGTCGTATTTACGTCGTATTAATTAGTTAATAGGTCTGGTATTTCCCTAGGTATGTGTTTTATTTGAATGCGCCGCCCCGTACGATATTCAAACGGCAGTCCATAGGCATAGACCTATAAAGTATAAGCTTATGGACAGGCGAGGACAGGCGAGGACAGCGCTTCCGAGTTCCGTCCGCCCTGCCATTGGTTAATCCTGACGACATGACTGAGAGAGAAAACATAATATATATATGAGCATATGAGAGAGAAAAATGTTTTGGGCTTTATGTTTTAGCACACTGTAAAGGCTCAAAACCTCTCTTTTCTCCTCAACAATCCTGGTAATCGTTTCTCTATCCTCAAATGCTCTGTCCATTTATAGGTCTGTTCGACTATGCCACGAATTAAGATATATCTTAATTCGTGGTCTAAGCCCATTGGCCACCGGATGCCAAAATGACAGGCTGGCGTGAGACAGTCGTGAAATAAGTAGGTACCTAATAAGTAATAACGAATAACGTGATATGCAAACTCCGCGATAACGCGATAACTGAAGTATATTCATATATGTCTACCGAATGAATTCATTTTTGAAAGAAAATTGATTTGCATACCAATTTTCAGAAATTAATCTGTTATTTTTAGCAAAAGTATGACTACTATGTATGAAAGACCTTGTATTAAATTGTCTAGCCTTAGCAAATAATAATATTTTATATTTTATAATGTTTTGAACTACAAATAACGGTCATTTTGGAACAAATTGAACTTAAATGCTTATAAGAAATAACATGGGGCCTATGTAGTGTTTGGAGTATGAAAATATTCCACAAAATAAACCGGACACTTTGAAAGTATGTTACAACAAAATAAAAACCACAATTTATTTATTATTTTAACACAATGTTCAGTGTTCTAAATTCTAATGACAGAATTCAGTATTTATACAATAAACATGTATAATATTGTATACCTACTTGTATCATTTAAACATTAAAATATTTAAAAATTTTGAATACCATTTTAAATGTATAATACCAAAGGATACATACAGGTACTATATAGTTATGAAGGTAATTTATGACAATTATATGTAAATGTTTAATATGAACATTTAAAAAAACGTTTTTTTTTACGACAATGGGGGGGGGGATTCAGCCCTTTAGCCCCCCCCCCTGCGGACGCCACTGAAATCGATTATAGTTCAATAGTTTACAGAGCTGCTAATCATAGAACAATATAAATGTTAAATACAATTCAAAATTGCGCTATTCGTTTATCTTTAGGTGCATTTAAAAGTGGCCCAGTCGCAAGCATACTTTGTTTAGCTGGCGAACCACCTCTCTCATTAAGGAGAAAACTTCTCGAAACCAAATATATAAAACAAATAGCCAAACATCAAGAAAATCCTGTGTACAATAAAATCTTTAAAAAAATCAACCAGGTAAAGCCGGTAAATATATCCCATCTCAGACCACTATATGCAACACAACAAGATTTTATTAAAAAAAAACAAAACTGTAATATAATTCAAAGCACTGAATTAAAGGTACCCCCGTGACGATTCAATAGAGATAAAATAGACCTAAGCCTATCATACTACAAGAAAAACATTACGGATAAAAATATATATAAAATCCTTACACAGCGAACACATATAGGTATACTGACACGTCGAAAAGCGAGCAGAAGACTGGATTAGCCGTGATATCTAAATATCTAATGATTTAAATATACAATTAAAAACCAGTATTTTCACCGTAGAAGCCTTATTGGCAATACTCACGGCCATCCAAAGTACCCAGTATACCAACAATAAGAAATACTTAATAATGTCAGATTCTTCAAGCAACTTAATCAGCATATATAATTTAAACATATCCCAACCAGCTATTAGCCAAATAATTAATGAACTTAACGAACGCAATAATAATATATCTCTTGCACGGATCCCGGGACACGTCGGCATACCAGGCAACGAAAAAGCTGACTTAAAAGCTAAAGATACTACAGGTACCTCCATTTTTGAAATATGTCCTCACATATCAGATCATGACTTTCAAAATTGTATTAAATTCAATTATATTGATGAATGGCAAAGCCTTTGAACTAATTGCAATAATAACAAGCTCAGAGAAAATAAAGCAAACAATATTACCATGGTCCGAACCATACGATATACTTTGGAATATGATATTAAAAATATAATATCTATTAGGTAAGTCATATAAAAAGTAAAAACTTTTTTTTTTAAATTCTTTATTAGAGAATATAACAATCTATACACAACGGCTTAAAAATAGAATTAAAAATTCTACAACAATTAAAAAAAAAACCAAGAATATGGTGAGGGAAGAAACCATCCAGTGATCGCACTTCCTTTTGCTTAAAAGTTCAATGTTAAAAATAAAAATGCTAAAAAGTAGTCAAAATTAGGTTTATAAATAAATGTATAAAAACGTTATTACTTTTTGAGAAAACGAGTACCTATATTTACTTTTAAAATCATCACTATGTATTGTATAATAATACAATATACTTATCGTTTACATAACACGAATATGGTATTGAATCCACATAAAACGATTGCAGAAGTATAAGTTATGTACCACGGACTAAGATATATCTTAGTCCGTGTTATGTACCTACCTATAATACCTGCCTACTTATATTACTGATTGCACAAATAATATCTATCATGATCTTTTTGTTTCAAGATAGTATTATGTTATTGATACTATTGTTGTTTTCGCAGTGGAAAAAAAACTCAACACATATTAAATAATAATATCTATTATTATATGAGGTACCTACCTATTACAAACGTGGTCACAAAAATGCATAACCTACGCTTATCGTCTACACGGGCACAGTTATTATAGTATCTATAGCCTATATGTATGGGTTTAATATAATATTATACTGTAACACACAATATATCTGTCACGTACTCACATAGCAACCCATCTATACCTATAACATCGAAGATCGCGATGAACCGTGATAATATTATAATATATTATTATAATATTAATGGTTATTATTATGCTATATCGTAATATTCGATCGCATCATTTTGAACGATCTTAAATAATTATTTATTATTGAAGTATATTGATTTCATTCCTACTCGACAGTCGACGATAAACTGTCTATACACCAAGAACTGGAACTTCACTGAAACCCTTATTTAAATTAATTTTAATACCGGACCCTTATTTAAATTAATTTAAAAACCGGAACCGATACTTTTACTTGACAAATTTTTTTCCATAAAAAAATAGTAAAAAACCAAATCAGGTAACAATTTTTTTATTTTTTAAGAACCGAAAAGAAACCGAAACCTAATTGTTAGTTTTTCTGGGAACCGGAACCGAAATTTTAGTTTTTCTGGGAACCGAATAGGAACAGGCGCGGTTCTAGAACTACATTTTCGCAACAGTAGTTTTATAATTAGGTTTGGGTAAGAAAATAACATCTGTAATCCGTATCTTAATCTTACAATATATTGTATAAAATATATTTTATTACGATATATGAGTATTCTTAGATATTAAAGTAAGTACTTCCTAACAAAAAAAAAAAAAAAAAATCAATAAGAAAATACAGTTAATATTTTAGATTCTGAGCGGAGCAATGAATGAATTAATTTTACAATGATGTGTTTTTTTTTTGTATGTGTACACAATAATAGTAGTTGAAATAATGCTTCGATATTCAACTTCAGTATATTTTCCGGTGGAAAAGTGAATCTTGTTGGTACTTGGTGCAATAGTGAGGTTTTAATATTCCTAGTAGTTTTCAAAAGCTCATGGAAAAACCAAAAAAAAAATTAAGGCAAAACGGGAATTTTTTTTTTGATAATATCGATTTTGGTTTTTGGTGTAACTCTTAAAATAATTACCGTAGATACATGCAATATTCACTGAATGTTCATATTAGTATTTCCTATACACCGTAATATTTTCAAAATATTTTGTTTGATGTTGATCTATTTATAGACATATCAAGTTTTCAATTATTATTAGTTTTTTTTAAATTAATATCGATAAAAAATTGTTTGCTCTGCAGTCTAAAAACTTGAAAATGTAATACAAGGTTTCTCGTAAGTTGTTGTTAGTAGAAATGAAAAACAAAGTTGAGCATAAATCCACAATAGTTTTTTATGAGCGTCTGAAATTTTTTTTTAAATCTTAAATTTATAATATTGTGATACAAGATTCCTCATAAGTTTTTCTATCTTAATCAAAATAAAATGTGTCTACCAGAAAGGGAAATTACATTTTTATGAGCGTTTGAAGTTCAATTTTTCACAACATTGTATATTCACTAGATTTATCATGGAGTGATTATTTTTTTTTTAATGTACGGAATGGATTTTGTATTTTTCAAGTTATTTAATTAACAACCTATTAACGAATATTGTTATCACTTATCATCAATTAAGCGAGACTAGTGCCTAACATCAGTAACATCCAGTCTGCATCCTGTCTGTTCTCATTTATTTTTATATTATATTTATATTGATTTCTATTTGTTAACATACAATTATACATTTATAACTTACAAACACATAATATTATATTATACGTTACACATATAGTCACATATTGTAATATAATTGCATATTGTAGAGATATGTCGCATAATGTCAAATGTATATAATATTATATATACCTACAAACTGGTTCCGTCAATTGATAGGTGTACATTTTTTCGTATGGATACCTACATTACAATACACGTATTCCGCAGATAAGTCAAGTATTATAATGGACAATTTTATTCTTAGATAAAAAGTTTATAATTCCTGTAAACGGGTTTCTCTGCCGAAGCGTGAAAAAAAAACAGGTCTTGTGGATTTAAAAGTACATAATTTATACATATATGATTATATTAATATTAATCTTTATATATACATATAACTATAACAATAATATAGTGTTATGTGTAAGTACTAAACACAGCGCAGCATCAACTGTTAAATGTTTTTCAGGTAGGTAGTTTGCAAGTACCTCATCAGTTACAAACACTTCGAACAAAGAACATTAAAATAATATAGGTATTATTATAGTATGTAGTGGATCCATGATAACTGAAAACACTCAATAATTCGGCGTTCATTATTGTTAACCATGATTTTTGTTTGTTCACTTTTTGATTAGGTACCTCGTACCTACTTATTACGTATTACCTATTTGCATGTGCTAACACAGTGAAGTGCTCAGTTTTTAAAAAGAGGAGGCTTGCATTTTTGAATATTCTCAGAACACGTTAAGAGCAGTAAATTTACTTTGTTTACTTTATCATATAGGTATATTTTATATGAGAAAATCCCCCAAAGAGACGAAGAGGGGTTATAACGGTGCGTGTGCAATTATATTTCTTAATCAGTCATCTTTTAACTGAGAGGAATAGGTCTGCTACTAATTTATGTTTAATATTTTATAATCGTAAAAAACGAATGATTGTAGATACATGAAAATTGCACTGAATGTTTATATTAGCATTTCCTATACACCATACAATTTTGAAAATATTTTGACTCTTTTTGAGCTGTTAACGGACATTGTTAGTTTTCAATTTTTTTAGTTTGTTTTTCAATAAATATCAATAAAATTTTATCTGTTGGGCCAAAAAATGTAAAAATGTAATACAAGGCTCCTGATATATTGTTACAATATCAGTTGAAAAATATTAAAAATACATAGGCACAATTTCTTTTTATAAGCATTTAAAGATCGAATTTTGACAAAATTTATCAAATTTAAAATCGAATAATTATTTTGTAGTTAAAAATGTATAAAATGTTTAACTTTTATATCTAAGGATTGAAAATTTAAAACAAGATTCCACGTAAGTAGTTAATTCTGTTACTAAAAAATATAAAAAATACTAAAGCACAGTTTATTTTTATAGTCATTTTAAGTTCAACTTTGGATGACTTGAAAATTACTTAATAAAAAACCTAGAATAACTATTTTAGTTATTTTGTTGTGATTGTATAATATTATTCGTGGGTACTTGAAACTTCTAAAGTACACTATTATATATCTATGATAGTACCAGGGTTTGTTGTTGATGTATAACGCGTTAAGTACCTAATGGCTAATGGATATTGTGATATGAATATATGATTAATTTAAATTTATTATAAGCACCTATTATAAGTCAATTTTTTTATTATTTATGTCTTAGGTATACTTGGAATTATACCTATTATTTTTATTATTTTTTTTTATTTTTTATTAATTAACCCCTGGCCACTTAGGCCATTTGGTGGTTTTTATTGGGAGGGTACTGTAAGTTTTAAACTCGTGTGTTTTTTGGTTATGGCAGATTTTTAGTGGGCACCCGTAGGTGTCTGCCAATCTGCCATGCCTTGGTGGGAGATGGTGGCACTTTTCTCCGGACACCGTGACTTGCTCGAAGAAAAATGCCACCCGCGGCCCGGTGTGCTTCGCAACCAATGGCGTCCGCAGAAATTTGTCAAGGGGAGGGAAAAATATTTTCCTTTTTATATTTTTTTCTCACTATGTTATTAGTCATAAAGTATTTTTTAGACATATTTTCTTTCATATAGACAAGGAATGTAAAAATATGTATGAATTATACGTAGATAGTAAATTAAAACTTACAGCATTCATTTTAATTTATTGTTATGTAATTTTAAATTATTAAACACATTTTTTTTTTTTATAAAAAAATGTTACCGTTGATTTTATAATGAAAGTCCATAATCCTTAATGATACATTTTTTATTGACATTTTACCAATCCTCTCGTCAATTACTATACCTAATTATGCTATGTCAGTGCCGGTGCGAATGTCCATTGGACAGCTATCATCAATGATAGAGGTTGTAATGGGGTGGGGGTGGCCCAAAAGACTTATATGACACATCGTATATACTCGGTCGAGACATTACCCGAACCCTATCCACAAAAGTGTCAACATTTAATATTTAATTTCTACCTATATCATTACTAATAACTTACTACTATAAATACGTCTATAAAAATTATTAATTTATGTTATTATTATAATTATGTTACCTATAATAATAGTTCTGGGTCGGTAGTCGGTACGGTTGCTCCATCGAAATGTGCAGGCGCACGAGGCACGACTCACCAGTGTTGGGTAGTTTTTGTTGGAAATTTCGATTGTAATGATATTATATTTATATTTATAGGTGCCTACCTAATATAATTATTATCGAGGTACCTATAATTCAATGCGAACTGTGTGCCAATTTGTTCCGTAATGATAAACACGATGATAATAATGCCTAGCGATTTACGGGCACAGCGAAACGGAACCTTCGAAATGTTTCCATTCGTTCTCCCGCGGCCGGTACATAACCCATTACATCAATACAAAATATATATATACTATAATATAATATATGACGTAGGTATAGGTATATATTAGACTATATTATATTAGCTGTAGGTACCTATAAACAGTGCTACGAGACGTCAACAAATTTAAAATAATGATAAAATCATTCAAACTCGTAGTTTCGAAACTTTTTTTGTTTTGTGAACCGGAAAGCTTACGTTTTTCTGAGTGGCTACCTATATTTTAGCCAAAAATTTTAAATATGACAGTATTTTCCCTGACAGTATTATAGCCGATAAATATTACAGCCGACAGATATTGAAATATTACGGCCGACAGTATTTTAGCTGACCAATATTTAAATATTTTCCAATTTAATAAAAAAAATATTTCCTCTTCGACGGTTGGTTACACGTCTTATATCAAAAAGTTTGATGGCCCCGGCCAGTACTCCCGGAGTGATAACGATATAATAAATGTTTTCAATTTTAAAATTCAAACTTCAAAGTTCAAAATAGTCAATATCGTAAAAAAATTAAAAAAACTAAATGCTTATTTACATAATGAGTTAGTTAATTAAGGAATTATCTACTCATGGTATAGAACATACAAATTATAATATTAATTGTTACACAAAAATATGTTTACCACATAGCTAGGTAGGTATACAGGTTGTCACCAGTTTGTCTAAATTATTCAAGAACCCAAAACCAAAATTAGTTTTTAGAATTGAGTGTTAATGCATCAAAGTTGACTTCGTTTAGGTATGAGAAATATCAAGTAGTTTCATTTTATTCAGTGGTGGTATTTTAAAGTAATATTGTTAAGGACAAGTATGGTAATTAACTAATTAAAAAGTTAATAGATCAACCCATACCTAGTAATAACATAGCTTTTGAATTTAATATTTAATATTATGTTAACTTAAATAAATAATGTTTCCACGTAGATATTATTTAAATCCACTACAATACTTGTTAATTCTGATTATTCTTGATTAACTATTGGCAAAATGTGTCCATTTGTACTCCTTTATATTATACCAATGACATTCTAATGCTGTTATAGAAATACACAATTGACCTATGGGTATACATTTATGATAGGTATACATTTATCTATGAAACCATGGACAAATGAATGTGGAGTTCTTAATTTAAATGATTATTTTTTTTGTTTCTTTTTCCTACAGATTTTGAAATTGATTGTGAACATTTTTTAATTTTGCCCCCCCCCCCTAAATGTACTTCTAAATTGATGTTTGGAGGTAGATTTCTGGTTTATGTGAAATACTTCTGTGTTGTACATCAACCATAGGCTCAATTTGGGTTAAATTTATAGGAGTGCTAGATTTATGTCGACTAAGGTGGTCAGTGGGGGGCCTCCTTCATTCGTACAACTTAATTTTTTACACCTTCATATTAATCTTAATAATATAAGCAATTACCCATAACATAATACACTTTTTTCTATATAATTATTCCGATAGGTGATATGCTTAGGTAATACGTCATGTATATCATTATTTATTAGTATGAAAATGATAAGGTCTTGGTAATAAATGTATCCAAATACCTATGGCATAATATTACAGTCAATAAAAATTTGATGGTGCTTTCAAAAATTTGAGTGTGCAAATATGAATTTTGGGGGTGCTAGGCACCCCCCCCCCCCCAAATTGTGAATATGACATCAACGTGTTAAACAGTGAAAATATTCTGTATCTTATTGAAACATTCAACTTTTAAGGAGTTCCGTATAGGCAATTTTATAAATCAAGAATCAAAACCAGGAAATAAAACGATCAGGACAAAAATGAATCAGGATTGTTAACCACATGAACGATACATACTAAAGGAACAAAAAAAAAAAAACTGAAACAGTATTTCATAGTAAAATTCATATGCAGGAAATTTAATTATTCTATTATATATATAGACATAGACACAGAGCTGGGCAAAATCCTTAAAAAAATTATTTTTAAAATCTAAAATCCAAAGCATTTGAAATTTGTATATACTTTATTAATAGATTTATTCATTTGTCAGTTTAGCGTTAACTTTACACTTTTTCAGTAAATATATTATTATTACACCAAGTTATACATTATCAATTATTATCATTATACACCACTGGCTATGATTATTGGTTAAATAGGTCTGAAATAAGTCACTTTCATGGGTAAGGCAATGTGTCATAGTGGGAAGATAGATTGCTACTCGGAAAAAAGTTTTTTTAGAAAATAAATATTCCCTGGCTGATTGAATTTATGTTTAAATATTTACCCGATTAAAATATCATATCACATTGTCCAGCCAGTTGTCAAGTAGCACTGTTCATATTATTTCTTTCCAACGAAAATTCAGTGAATGGACACATAAATGCGGCAAAGATAAAATTAAATTTGTTGTGACAACAGTATAGAACACATTAGTTTGTCACCAATTCAGTTTAAGTTGGGACTTTCAGAGTTAAATTAGAAAATGTTTGTTAATATTAATACTTGAGGTGAACAAACATCAATAATTAAACATAGAATTCTGAATCAATCAAACAAGCAGTTAAGAAGTATGAGAATAATATATTATAAATTATTAGTGTTTTCTGTGCATAGAAGGTAAATACCTAATTTCCTATAGGTAAGGCGTAGTTAGGGATGGATCTCATCCTCTGGCTGAATATCGTTTTACCATACATAGATTTTCCTATAATTTATATTCCATATTTCCAAGAGCAAAATATGGGTAAGAGAATATTCTCAAGTGCTATAGTCTTCAAATATTTATTATCAAATAAATTCATTATTTTAATTGACAATTAAAAGAATTAAAATAGTAATTATTAATAATAAATAGTTATAGAAAATAATATCTAATAATACTGACTCTTAGAACACTAAACAAAGTTTGTTCTATTTAAAATTATTTAAAATCATAAAATACTTTCAGAAATTTTTAATAACTAATTATTTAAGTGATTGGTATAACACTACTATGTTATAATATTTGTATAAAACGTTTATTCCAATCTAAAAAATCTACAATGATAATAATAATAAAAAAACAATAATAAGAAATTATATGTTATGTTAAAAAAAAATTATACATATATAATATATCGTCAAACATTCTATCACTAAGGTCAAAATTCATTACACATAAAAAAAACATATAAAAATTATATAGTAAAAGTTAGTAAAGTAAACGCAAGGTTAAACATAGATTCGAAGACAGAGTAGTGATAAATTAAATAATAAATAATTTAAGATTTATGGCCACATAATTTGATTGCACGTTATAAAAAGTCTTATTTTCTCCATAAGCTTTTGAAAAATCCACGTTTGGATTGACTGGTCACACATTCTTCACTTATATCTCCTAAAATAAAATTTTAAATATTATATTAAACAATACAAATATAAAATATAATAACAGTTCAAATTGTATTTATAATAAATAATATTAACTTAATGTTTGTATAATCATATACTATAAATATCATTTTAATTAATTAGTGTTTTTATTTTTATTATTATATTTAGTAAATCCTGACTGAGGGTTCTGTCACTGGACAGTCTCCCTCTCATAAATATATTATCATGTAAATATTTTAAATCATATTTATCCTATTTGCTTGCTATACATATTTTGCTACAGGTGGTAAATTTTCTATTTAAATAAAAAAAATCTGATGAAAAGTGATAATTAAAAGTTGTTGACAACAACTATTCAGTTTTAACTTAAATTATTATGAAAAACTATAGACTGAGATAAAACTTGATAAATCATTTAATATAAATTGTTATAAAGTAAAACTAATATTAAAATCCATATTTTTTTTGTTTATATTTGCTTAGAAACTCCTAAAATGTGTACATACTATATAATAAATATATGTTACCGTGTGGTCCAATCACTGAAGAAGAGAATACAGTTTTAGATTTATTACTTTTGTTAGTATTACCTGAAACAAAATAAAACATGATTGGGTATCTCAAATCTCAATCCACATAAGAATATAAGTAATATTATATAGCAAATACTATAGAATGTATAGTATGTCATAGTAATGGTAATAGTAAGTCATTGTTTATTATTTTTTTAAAAATATTTTTGAATGTTGGAATTGTAAAGCGTCTGAATAATGGTAAATTGACAATCAATTCATATATAATATTTAGACTTTTCTACATTATGTGATAAAAGAAAATATTGAATTTTAAATTATTAGAATACTTGAATTTATTAAATATATATTTTTAACATATTATTACATTCCATTTAATACTTTTAAAAATTTAACCAGTTCCTAACATATGTTATAACCAGAGCTCGTAAGTTCATGCATTTGCATACCAATCTTGCTAAGTTGTATTTAATGCTAGATGACATAGAACCCATTGCAAGATACCACGGTTAAGAATATGCAGTTTTATTTTGCATAGCTATTTTAGTATTTAAGAGTTTTTCAATTTTATTGTGCAAATTATTCATAATTTTGATATTTTATGTTATGTACATTTTAGATTCTGAACGGAGAAAGAAAGCTAGTGGTTTTAAAATGGTGTTTTTTTATTATTATTAATTTTTTTTTTTTTTTGCGTATAATGTATACAAAATTTCTACCAGAAGGAGTGCTCAATTTCAATATATTTGGTCAATTCAAAATGAGATTGGTACACGGCGGCCACCAGTTTTCGTCGGCGGCGTGCAGACCACTTGTTGATTCAATTGTAGTGTTCTCTAGGGACGCATCGGTCGACCGTGCTTTCGACGTGCTTAGTATTTGTGCGTGCATGCGTTGTGCGTCCCTATACCAGGTATACAAAAAATAAATGAATAGTGCGGGTCTCGTATTTGAAATGAACAGCACGGGTCAAGTATTTGCTGCCGATCTAAGGAATGTGTGTCCCGTGTTGCAACCATAATATGTATCAATATAACATTATACATTTAATATTGTTTTTAATTTATGCGTACGACTGACGTGTACATAACTTTTTTATTAAATAATTATAAATATTTTTTTGGCGATCAATTTAAATTGTTGAGAATTGTATAAATAATATATTCTAAGTTGCTTAATAATTGTTTTATTAAAAAATGTAAATATTGTTTTTAATTTATGCACGGCTTTTTTGTATGGCGACCGCGACAGAGTGTCATATATGAAACAAATAGCGTCAGCCCACCGCCGCGAAACAAAGCCACACCCATGCACACTATTTAGTATTTGGCCGCCCTTACTGATCTCATTTTGAACAGACCATAGTATCTTATCTTTTTGAAAATTGGATCAAAATGGTACTTTAGAGGTCATTTTTCGATTTTCTCAATAATTATTTAATGCCATGGGAAAAACTACAGACAAATTACAAAAAACCTCTAAAAATGGGATTTTAATTTCTAACGATTTGTATATCACCACTGCAACAAATTAAAAATAATAATATAATATTCATTCAACTTACAGGCTATAACCAATAATAAAAATATTTAAAATCCAGTCTGACAAACAGTCTCCGTTCAGAATCGTTTTTCTTATACAGTGATACTATATCATTGAATTCAAGTATAATACAATCAAGTTTAAATTATACATTGGCCCACTTGTGACCTACTATACAGCAGAGCGACATACACTTATCTGTTTTTAATTTTATTTTTAAATACTATGAATAACTGATGAAAAATGCAATCATTTATATTTTTTATTGTATAAAATGTACAGGAATTGTCGCAACATAAAATAATTGCATATTTCTTGCTATTTCAAAAATTGCTTATGATTTCTTCTTTTTTCAATCAGTACATTTTTAGTACATTGTTTTAGAAGTTTAGTGCATATAAATTTATATTTCTGAAGGCAAATTTTAATGCATATTTTGTCAGTTTATAGTGCGTAAGTGCATGCTTATTTAGGATTTTTTTCACGAACTTACATGCCCACATTTTCTAGATTATTAGACAGACACAGAATTAAATAAATTATAATAGAAACCTAAAATTATTTATTTTATGTATATTGTAGTCAAAAATTGCATTGAAAAAAAATGTAGAAAAGGCCAATTAAATATTTAGGTATACCGTTTATTATATTATCAGTTTCCTAAAGGAGTGCAGTGAAAACCTGAACTATTATATTTTAAAAACTAACTTTAATTTAACATTGGTGTGATATGATTGAACAATAATTTTTCATTCAATAATATTGTTCGATATTGAAAGAATAATAATATATAAATATAATAATACTATACTCTGTCCAGCGAGAGAATACACAGATTATACACATCACCTGCCATCAATACCAGTTCTACTATTATAGCAGTGTTGCAGATAGATGCGCAAAAGAACATATTTTGTCAGGCTGTGGTTTGGTCTTTTGGTGAACAGAGTATAGATTATACATAATATAAAAATTATGATGTCCGCGTATTAAACATATATGTTTCGTGGTATTTATTTTTGACAAATAGACAATGTTTATCTAAAGTGGGCCACAACTAATAAAAACTAATAATACTAAAGTGCCTCGATTGATATAAGTTAGGGAACCATGGTTTACTGGTATGTATCATATTTCAAGATATTCAATTATTTTTATGAATCAAATTTTTTTTTGGCTTAATTAATTGGTTTTTTTTTTATAAAAGGCCATTATTAATTCATACATTATGAATTTAAATTAATTTTGTAAATTAACAACAAATTTATATTTCAATAATATTTTATCAACTAACCCTTTCTAATAAGTAGACTAGTGACACGTCGAAGCGCTTCTCTGGGAGACCTGTGGAAGAACTTTGGTGTAAGATTAGGGGGTAATGTAACAGGTTTATGGCCTTCTCGAGAATCCCATTGTGAGTGGCCAACGGGGCTTTTGCTAGCCAATTTGTCAAGCTGTTCTACTGACACAGGACGAAATTGTCTTTGCCGTGGGTACCATCCCCTACCAGGTCCATTTAGGTGCAACAACTCGGCACCAGCCATTGCTTGGCCTAAACCAATACTAGAACCATGACCAGCACCTCTCATGTTGATACTCATACTATCTGTATTATACACAAAGAACAATAAGTTATCAATAAAAATATATTTAATAAACATTTTTATTTCAAACTTACTTGACATCTGAGTCATTGTTTTAGTACCGGTGGCAGAATACTGACGGGGAAAATCACATCTTCCTAATAGTGGCGTATCTGGCAATGAGCTCGAAATATCTGATAATTTTTCAATAGTACTGGGATGAATACTGGTTTTAAGCTTCAAAGGTTTTGGGTATCCATCAGAAACGGGTACTTCAGATGGATAAGTTCTTCTCTCAGACTGCACCTAAAATTCCATAGAAACATCATTAATGACTTAACAAATACCTAAGTTTAAAATAATAACAGTTCATTTGTTATTTTTCTTTTAGGAATATATTTTTTTTAATGTTATGTATATGCTTATTAGTCATGAGACGATATATATGTATGTTTTTCATAAAATACTAGCATTAAGTACTTTTGAGTTTGAAATAAATGTTATTTTAGCTAAAGCGTTTTTTTATACTTTTTTTAAATTTTTGTACATAATATTTATGTATTATTGTATACCTGTACAATTTACATAATAATTAATAATATTACAGCATTATGTGATGAATATACTTACATATTTTTAGATTCTGAGTGAAACGATAAATGTATTGATTTTACAATGATGTGTGTTTTATTTTTTATTTTTTTTGTGTCTGTGTACACGATAAGTAGTCGAAATAATGCTTCGATTTTCGACTTCAGTATCTTGTTCGATTGGAAAGTGAATATCGTTGGTGCATTGGGGAGGTCAAAATTTAAAATTCAAAGTACTTTTCAAAAGCGCCAAGAAAAACAAAAGAAAAATTAAGGAAAAACGGGAATTTTTAGGCAAAATCGATTTTTCAGAAAATTGAATTTGGTTTTTGGTGTAACTTTAATACAAATGACCGAAGATACATCAAATTTTCACTGATTGTTTATATTTGCATTTTCTATACACGATTTTTGACTCTTTTTGAGCTGTTTACAGATATTTTCATTTTTCGATTTTTTTTCTATGAATATCAATAAAGTTTTATCTGTTGGGCCAAAAAGTGTAAAAATTTAATACAAGGCTCCTGATATATTGTTACAATATCAGTTGAAAAATATTAAAAATACATAGGCACAATTTTTTTTATAAGCATTTAAACATCGAATTTTGACAGAATTTTTCAAAATCTCGAAAATTATTAATCATCGTAATTAGTAAATTATAAAATGTTCAGTTCTTATAGTTAATGATTAAAAATTTAAAACAAGATTCCACGTAAGTAGTTAATTCTCTTACCGAAAAATCTAAAAAATATACAATCACAGTTTATTTTTATAGTCATTTTATGTTCAAATTTGGACGAAATTACATATTAAAAAACCTAGTTATTTTGTTGTGATTATATAATATTATTCATGGGTACCTACTTGAAACTTCTAAAGTCTACTATTATATATCTATGATAGTATCAGGGTTTGTTATTGATGTTGATGTATAACGTGTTATAAGTACCTAATGGATATTGTGATAATGTGATATAATTAATTTGGAATTTATTATAGGTCAATTTTTTTTTTAATACCGTAGATATGTATATAATTTGTCTTAAACCTAGACTGACATACCGTCTCCGCTCAGAATCGTTTTTCTTATACAATGATATTGTATCATTGGATTCAAATTTAAAAGCATCCATTATACAGTGACCCACTTGTAACCTACTGTACAGCAGAGCGACATCCACTTACCCACCTTTTTTTTAGTATGTACCTACCTATGTAATATGAATAATAAGAAAAAGTAGTTTAAAGTGTAAAATCCTTTTTTCAAAAAACAATTATAAAAATTAATACAATTTATTATGATGAGTTGATGTAATAAAAAAGAATAATTCATTTAACTAAAATTAACTCACTAGTAAATACAAATTATAAATAATTTAAGGAGGTATTAACCTAACCTAAACTTTAATCACATTATATTAATGAATATTATGTGTTTTACTATCAAGATCAAGAGGTCAAATAATATGTGAACTTATGGTAGGCAAGTAACATAAAATAATATTTAATTAATCGTTGGAGATAAAAAATTGTGAATGTACAGCGTACACAACTAAATGAGTATTTATACAAAATTGAAAAATGTTTAAATATAACTAAATAAATCATAAGCTACTTACAGATCTGGTTCCAATTTTTTGATGTTGTTGAAAGTTATGAGAAAATTCAGCGTCTATTGATCGAGATTTGATTATTGAAGTACTTGGTTCATTTTTATGAACATCAAATATGAAAGGTACAGGAGCAGAGTTTTCTCTTTTTGTTTCAACGCTACTCAATATAGGTAGCTCTGAAACTATACACAATTCATTACAACAAATTAACAAAATAATAAGCAATAAGGATTTTTAATTGTTACCAATTTCTTCAATAGGTGATGGGGGCAATGGTCCAAACAAAAATGAATCAAAATCTCCATCAATATTATTAAGGCTTATTTGTTCATTAACAAATTCTTCTAAAATATTAGCATTAGCATAATTTTCACAATCGTCATTTGAATCGATGTCAAGTCCTTTGTCATACAAACTAAAATTTGTATAACCAATGTCAACACAGTCCTCTCCATTAGATTTACCTTCAATCCCTTTATCAAACATCTTATTACTGGTATAACCAATTTTCAAATTGTCCTTTTCATTAACATTGACTTCATTTCCATTCTCAACTACATTCATATTTGTATAGTCAATATCAACACAATTTTCATTGGGTTTGATTTCACATGCCTTGTTAAAAGTTGTGATTTTGGTATAACTAACATTAGTAAAACCATCCTCATTATTAGTTATTGTATTATCTTTATTAAAAACATTAATATTGATATAACCAATACTGGCACTGTCCTCTCCATTGGCATTAACTTCGTTTGCCTTATTAAATGTGTTAACATCTGAATAATTAAAACTTGCACAGTCCTCTTCTTCACTAGTTTTGATTTTGTATTCTGAGTTTATAACATTAATATTTGTGTAACCAATGTCGGTACAGTCATTTTCTGCATTAGTTTGAAGTTCTTTATTAAATACATTAATATTTGTGTAACCAATGCCTGATAATTCCTTATCTACAGAAGTGTCATGTTCAAGATTTTTATTAAAAACATTAATATTTGTATAACCAATACTGGTACAGTTTTCTTCTATGTTACTTTTAATTTTATCTTCATTGTTGGTATTCATTATGAGTTCTTTCTCAAAAACATTATTAACCTTATGACAATCATTTTGGTAAATTTCCTGAGTCAAAACTTCATTATTCACATGACAATTAACAAAAATATCTTCTGTTTGGCAGCTTGTGTCGACATAAATTTTTTGATTTTGATGTTTAAATAATTCGGTTGATACTTGCACAGACATGTCATGTTTAGCAACAATATTTTTGCAAAGTTTATTCATAAATAATTCGTGTTTAGTTGCACACATAGTTAAGTATGAACACGAATGATGGCTTTTTGTACTATCATGACTTAGAAGATTTGGTAACGAAGAAACTCTGTAAAGCAGAGGTGGGTGTGGAGGTTGAAAATCTGGTGGCATTTCATCTAGACCGTCAACTAGACCTTCTTTAAGTAAAGTTTTTATGTCTTCAAATGTTGAACTAAATCGATTTAGTTCACTATCTTCAGGTAAAGAATGATTTCTATTATTTATGTATTTATTTACATAGACTGGCATATCTACACATTGTTTTGGAGAATATTGAACATGATCGTTGCTTGAAACAACATGACCTTGTTCTTGAAAGAATTGATCGTGTTCGATTGCTATTGGATGACCATTCAATGGCACATTTTCACTGACTAGAGGCAAGACAATTTTTAAGACATTACTTGGTTGACCATCTAAACACAATTCGTTAATACATTCGGATTGTAGATTATCCGTCTGAAGAACTGTCACACAACCATTGTGAGAAGAAGTAATAGGGTCTACAATACAAGTTTCATTTTCAGATTCTAAAGGTGATATGCATGACACCGTTTCAAGATCAACACATTCCATTACCTGTGCCAAAGGCCAACTTTTACGATCCTTTTGAAAATCTACTGACTTAGAATATGAAATATTTTCATCGTTTTCATTGTAAGTCTTATTTTTTACTCTAGGCTAAAAAAAAATAACATTTAACATATTAATATCTATAATTTTTTTTAAATATTAAGTTTATTTAAATAAATTAATAAAACACAAGTTACCAAGGTAGATGATACAGCAATCGTATTGGGCAACATAGTAGAGTGAGATATTCCTTATTTCTGAGCTACCTATTAGCAATTTGATACCCTAAAAAACAAAACAACAAAATATAACTAAATAATAATTTGATAATAAAAACAATAGAAACAATAAAAAGAAAGGATAATCAAGCCTATCAATATAATATACTATAATTGGTAAGACTACCCCTAATGAATTTCAAACATAAAACAACGATAAAACGAACCATCATTTTAATAATGAGGGAAAACAATTAAATATTTATAAACAATTATTAAGATTAAGTTTGGAGCTAAATGGTTTTATTCAGTTTTATTGGTTGCTATTAAAACTATTTCATATTATATTATGTAAATCTAATTATCAAATATTTTATGAACAATATTTTGTTTGATAAACTGATTAAATTAAATGCATTTTATAATCATATATTATGTTCTTCTATTTTACAATATTTAGGTTTATTTTGACAAACAGTGTTCCTACATGCTTTACAGCTGTAAACAAAATAGTGAAATATTTAATAAGTATGTTACATTTTCTTCTTCAAATCATATAAATATAATATTATATAATATATTACATATATTTTTAAAAGATAATTAATTATATCTCTACTAAAATATTAAATATAAGGAATGTTTCTACATTCCACCTAACTTAATATACGTATTTAGATTTTGTAATAAAACATTTATTTGATATTGACTGAAATCATTTAATGACTATTTAAGTAGCCATAAATGTTAATAATGGCTGCATGCCCACATGCCTTCAATCTAGCACATAGTGTGCTAAATAACTGAATTTGTATTTATTCTAGATACATTGTTATATTTTTAGGTTTGACTCACAGTAATGTTAATAGGTTACAATTGCCCCATTTAAGTTTACAATTATGGTAAAGAATACCAACTTAAAGTTTTAGTAGTTTTAGTTTTCATTTATAATTTATGTTTCAAAAACCAATAGGTATACCTAACTATTATTTATTATGTAAACCTGAAATTAAAATTTTTATTCTGTAAATAATCATAGTTACCTCTAATAGTAATATAAAAATATTAGTTTATTGTGGATGTAAAATAAATTAAAATACATGGACTTTTTATAAACAGACTAATTACAGACTTCATTATATAGGTACAATTATATATTAGAAGATATATTATAGTCATATGTATAATATCCAATGCTAAATGGCATATGCTTATTTAAGAATCTAAATAGGGAATCTTATAAAATTAGTAGGTAATACTAGCATATCTAGGTAAAGACAATAAAGAGAGGAAAGTTTCCTAAAAGTATTTCGAAAATACTTTAAAATGAAAACAAACCATCATTAACTGATACAAATATTACAGTTTTAGATAAACACAATAAATTCAAAAATATTCAAAAACATATTCATTTTATAGCTAACAGGAAAAAAGAACCTACATAATATGTAGAAAATAAATACCTATACTAAGCCTGAATGTACTATGTATAGGCACATAATTTAAAAAAGGTACTATTAACTTGTATAAAAGAATATAACAGTAATAATGAATAAGATTTAGTATAAACATACTACGGAAAAAAACTGTATAGGTAACTGATGATTACAATTTAAATTTTAAAAAAGTTGTCAAGTAGGCTCAACTAGGTACAGCTAGGGTACAGTAGGTATCGAGTATACTATGTGTGTTCTGTGTAATCAAGTAGGTCACTGTAATGAAAATGTTCAATTTAAATTCAATGATAGTTCAAATCATATTTTTTTTTGTGATTTCTAATTACATTAAAAAGTTCTAAGGATATTTTATTTTTGACACCCCCCCTCCACTCAAGTACAAAATAGATCCAATTTTCTACCAGAATAAGTTGAAAACCAAAACATTTTTCTTCTATGAAAAATCTCTTCACACACATCTTTGTGTAATCAGAATCAACAATTTTATTTAGTTTCTCATTCATTGAATTTTTTGATAAAAAGTTTAATTTTTAACTGCCCTTGGTCTCAGGAATTTAAGATTAAATGTATCTACTTAATAATATGTCTGACACAATCTAATATATTTTCATCTGTTTGCATAATATTTTATTTTAATTATTATACAAACAATATATGAAGATCATACTTTTGGATATTTCTATTAACAGCAGTTGAGCAATAACATGTGAGCATATAGTTGGTAAATGTTATCCCACCGCCTACCTACTGTAAAGTTTATCTTCCTAGTGGAGTTATGTATACAGAAGTGAACATCAAGTATCTGTATCTAATATTAACATAAATTAACATTTTAATTATTATCACACTACAGTGAAACTTCCATTTTATACAATTTTCTGTTTAACAAAATATTTTTGAAAATAAAATCAAATTTATTTACCTAATTTTATTTAAAACTTTTCTCTAGGTAAAATACAATTTTTTTTTGTTGCCTAAGAGACTGTAATATGTATAAGTATTATGGAAGTTTCACTGTGTTTAAATTGTGATAAGCTAGGTTTATATATATAACAAATTGTTCAGATAGATGCTCGCAGCACTTTCTCGGTTAATTAAAAAATTAAAATCGAAAACATCCGTCTATTTGTTATGTAAAACCACCTTAGGTAGGTCTGGGAGTTAAGACAAAATTCAACTATCAAAAGCACGTATAAATATACTCGGCAAATATTACCATGAATTGTCTGTAACCCGAGTTAACTATTATACAACAATATTTCAATACTTTAACTTGTTATAACTTCAGAAATTTTACAGACCGACGAATTCTGATGACACCTTAATTTTTTTCATAAAAAACTACAAAGGAATAAATAAAAAAAAATGTATACATAGCATGGAAGCTAAACTAGATTTATGCCTAATTTTTACAAAATATTATTATTTTAATTTTTGAAAGATGAAACTTAAAATAGATTTTGCAGTAGGTACCATCTACTTATTTAAAATTATTCATATCATTAATCAAAATTGGTAAATAAATATTTTAAAAATTGTATGTACCTTGTAGCATATATATAATTTTAAATATTGAAGATTTGTATTATTATAACTTATAAGTATGTACATGTATATCAGTAGGTAATGCATATACCCATATGTACATGTATTTAAAATAGATACCATAAAAAAAAAACAAGTTATTGGATGGTTAGGTATGATTTCTGTGTCTATGAGGTGTTTTCTAAACAACTACTAAAATTAGGACATGTAAAAGTAATATAGCTACAATCAAATATGGAGACAACTTGTAGTTTCTAGCTATACAAGTTTGCTTGTATAATATAATATTGTATAATGTATAAGTTATACTTAGGTATAACTATTAATTAAATTCACTTACATAAAATAGAGGTAATCTATTGAGGAAAAAAAATCGAAGTCCAGAGATGAGATTCAAGTCACACTGTTCCACTAGTTGTTTCCATTCTATGAAAAGATAATATCAACATTCAATATGGGCTTAATTAAAAAGGTTTGTCTAGATCAGGCATGTCAAACACGCGGCCCTCGGGTCGTTTTTTTTTATTGCCTGTGGATGACAATATTAATAAACAATGAAAAGAAACATTGAAATAAAAAAATTATACAATTTTCCTTGCGTGTCACAACTATGTTAGTAGTGTGAAGTATCCATTATTTTACTTTTTTGCTGATTAACTGTAATTGAATAAGTATTGTATAGCAGGTATTGTCCGTAAAACATAAAATAAAAAAAATTGTATAAATAATTTTTTGTTTTGATAAATTTGTGTGTGAGGCCGCATCATAGTAGACTATTAAATATATTTTTCCCAGTTAATACTTTGAGTTTGACATTCCTGGTCTAGATTCTAGAGTATCTAGGTACTGTGTATTAGTGCATTTGGATGACGTAAGTGCACAAATTGAGGAACGGACAGCAAGACCGTAAGAAAGACTATGATTGACAGGGGACTCGACCAGACAGGTCAGATGGCCCAGTCTCTGAACCATGGTTTGGCATACGCATTTATATAAGGACATAGTAAAAAGATAAAGCAACACACAACTCACCGGACACGGCGGCGCTCCGACTCCTGTCTCGAACGCGTAAGTTGGCGAGTGGCACCGACCAACACTGTGGGCCCACGGAACGCCGTCGAAGTCGCGAATATCGTTCTAGTCGAGTACCGTCGTCGGCGTCATCGTCGCCTTCGTCGTCGTCGTCGTCGTCGTCATTCCTCCGACCGCACAGACGGAAAACGCAGACGGCCGGCCCCCCCGCAAACGTAGTTCGAGCTAGTCGCCAAGCGATATGTTTTCGGTGGGGTAGGAGAAAAAAACTAAACGGATTTTAAAAAAAAAAACAAAAAAAAATGAACAAAACAATAAGGGAAACGAAACGAAAATATAAAGAGTTGACACTGGCCGAAAATAATCAATAACTCCGCTTCTGTTTTGTTATTGTGTGCGTGCGTACGTGGGCGCTGGTGTGCGTGTGATAATGTCAGTCCTTGACATTGATAACGCGGTGTTTACCATTTACTGCCGCCGCGGATGACGCCAAACGCCTCCGCCGACTGAGATTATGAGGCGAGAGTGCGAGAGTGGTGTTTGGTATATGCGGTGAAGGGAGGAGTAAACGTTTTTACGTTTTTATAATACTACGGCGGCGGCGCGCGCACTGTCGAATGTACTTTAATAGCGTACCATCGTCCATCACTATAGTCACTACTACCATGGCTCTAATATAACGGGAATTCACAGATATATACTATAATTATATAATATATATAGTATTATATTATAGTATATTATATCTGTACGGGCATTAGACATTAGCGCATAGATAATAAAGAAAACCTCTCCCGAGAGGTTTATTGTGTTTTTATAATACTTGTCTCTACTTCTTTGAAAAAAAATACCGATAACCCATGTAACGTCTACGCAGGAGTGGCTTATCCGTTTTCTTATATTATCTACGGTTGTTACTGTCTACTACCTACTTACTACCTAGTTATTGTAATAATATTATAAAAAGTACATTAATACGCA